GACTTGTTGTCAAAGTGGCTTGGTAAAGAATCTTCAGAATATGTGAGACGTCTCAGGGCAGTTCATATTGAAAACCCAGACACACCTTGAAAATGGTCTGGAACAGGCTTGATGAATGTTACAGCTCACCTGAAGTAATCGAAAGTGCACTGTTTAAGAAGTTGGACAGTTTTCCCAGGATTTCAGGTAAAGACAACCTCAAACTAAGAGAGCTCGGAGATCTTTTAATGGAGCTGCTCTCAGCCAAGGAAGACGGCTATCTACCAGGTTTAGCTTACTTAGACACTGCTCGCGGCATCAGGCCCATTGTTGAAAAACTGCCATACACCTTACAAGAGAAATGGATTTCTCAAGGCTCAAAGTTTAAAGAAGAATTTGGTGTCACTTATCCTCCTTTCTCGTTCTTTACTCAGTTCATTTGCAATCATGCTAAAACACGTAACGATCCCAGCTTTGCCTTTTCCAGTAGTTGCCGACCACAGTATGAAGGACCCACTGTAAAACACACTAACTTCAAGACGCCAGTGTTGGTACACAAAACCGAAGTCTCTCATAGTGCATCTCAAGACAGAAAGCCTTCTAAAGATGATCCAGCCAAACACTGTCCCATCCACAACAAACCCCACCCTTTAAGGAAATGTCGAGGCTTCAGATTGAAAACAATCGATGAGCGAAAAGCATACCTAAAGGAGCAAGGGATCTGTTTCAGGTGCTGCTCATCATCATCACACGTTGCACGCGATTGCAAAGTCATTCTAAAATGTGATGAGTGCAACAGTGACAGTCACGACCCAGCTCTGCATCCTGGTCCACCCTCATGGACATCCAAAATCCAAAGTCCTCCATTATTGCATGGCGGGGAGGATGCAAGAGAAATTCCAATAACACAAGAGGTGAGCTCCCTTTGCACTGAAGTTTGTCATGGCCTTTCCACAAAATCTTGCTCCAAAATATGTCTCGTTAATGTGTTTCCTGAAGGGCATCCTGAAAATGCAGTAAAAATGTATGCTATGCTCGATGATCAGAGCAACAGATCTCTGGCCAGGTCAAGATTTTTCGACATCTTCAACATTAAGAGCAAAGCATCTCCTTACAGCCTAAAGACATGTGCTGGGTTGATTGAGTGTTCAGGAAGAAAAGCAAATGGTTATCGGATTGAAGCAGCAAAGGGTGGAATTAGTCTTGCACTTCCAACATTAATTGAATGTGACGAAATACCCAACAACCGTGATGAAATTCCAACACCTGAAGCTGCTCTCCATCAACCTCACCTCAGGCATATTGCATCTGAAATCCCAGCTCTGGACCCTGAAGCCCACATCCTACTGTTGCTTGGACGAGACATACTTAGAGTTCATAAAGTGAGGAAGCAAATTAACGGCCCACACAACACACCCTTTGGCCAAAAACTCGACTTAGGATGGGTGCTGGTTGGTGAAGTATGCCTTGGAGATGTGCACAAGCCCAGTGTTTCATGTTTCAAGACGAACATCTTAGAAAATGGAAGACCCTCACTGTTTATTCCTTGTACAAGTCACGTACACATTAAAGAAAAGATCACCAGCAACTTAACAGCTTTGCATACAGCTCATGACTTCGAAACCCACTGGAACATGAACACAGACAATCTTGGTCAGACTCTATTTAAAAGATCAGAGAACGACAATAAGCCTGCACTCTCCATCGAGGATGAAGTATTTCTAAAGATTATGGAGAAAGACGTTTTCCAGGATAACTCCAACAGTTGGGTGGCACCTCTTCCCTTTAGGTCTCCACGGCCAGTTCTTTCAAACAACAGAGATCAAGCTCTAAGCCGTCTCTCTTCCTTGCGACGTACCCTAGAACGGAAGCCAGACATGAAAGAACAGTTTGTTACCTTCATGCAAAAACTATTTGACAGTGACCATGCAGAACTTGCAGCTCCACTACCAAAGGGAAATGAATGCTGGTACTTGCCACTATTCGGAGTCTATCATCCCAAAAAACCCGATCAGATCAGGGTAGTATTCGACTCCAGCGCACGATATGAAGGTATCTCTCTCAATGATGTGCTCCTCACCGGACCAGACCTTAATAACAGCCTCATTGGTGTCTTGATGCGCTTCAGGAAAGAGTGTGTAGCAGTGATGGCAGACATCCAACATATGTTTCACTGTTTTGTTGTGAGAGAAGATCATAGAGACTACCTACGCTTCCTGTGGTACCGTGATAATGACCTTAACAAGGACATTGTTGAATACAAGATGAAAGTCCACGTGTTTGGCAACAGCCCATCCCCGGCTGTTGCAATCTACTGCCTAAGACGAGCCGCAGAGAAGGGTGTGCCGCAACATGGTCAAGACACCAGGCACTTTGTGGAACATGGATTCTATGTGGATGATGCACTAATTTCCTTGCCAACTGAAGAGGAAGCAATAGACCTACTAAAGAGAACACAAGCATCCCTCTCGGAATCAAACCTGCGACTGCACAAGTTTGTATCCAACAGTCTACAAGTACTCAAAGCATTCCCTACGGAAGATCATGCAAAGGACATCAAAGATCTCGATCTCAATGGTACAACTATGCCTACACAACGCAGCCTTGGTCTTAATTGGGAAACTGCGACTGACACATTTACATTCAAAGTATCAGTCAACGACAAACCATTCACACGCCGTGGTGTCCTATCGGTAATCAATAGTCTCTTTGATCCTCTCGGTCTTGTGGCTCCTGTCACTATTCAGGGGAGGTTTTTACTCAGAAAGCTATCCATTGAAGGAACAGACTGGGATGAACTACTGCCACAAGAGAAACTCGGTGAGTGGGAATCATGGACACATTCATTGAAAGACTTGCAACACCTTCACATTCCTCGTCCTTACACACCCAACTCTCATTCCAAGGCAAATCACAAAGAAATCTGTGTTTTCTCTGATGCGTCGACAAAAGCCATAGGAGCTGTAGCATATCTCAGGACAGTAGATGAAGATGGACAGATCAGCACTGGCTTCATCTTAGGAAAAGCAAAACTGACGCCAAAAAACCAGCCTACCATACCCCGATTAGAGCTTTGTGCAGCAGTCTTAGCAGTGGAGGTGGCAGAACTCATTGTTCAAGAGATTGACATCAAACCGGATGCTATTACCTTCTACTGCGACAGCAAGATTGTACTTGGCTACATCTATAACGAAACTAAACATTTCTACGTCTATGTCCACAACAGGGTACAGAGAATCAGACAATTTTCAGAACCAAAGCAGTGGCGATACATACCCACAGAGCACAATCCTGCTGACATTGCTTCTAGATCAATCCATGCATCTCAGCTTGCGAAATCTAACTGGTTTACTGGTCCGGCATTCCTGCATGAGCCACATGAAGATGACTTCATTATGTCAGATAACTTTGCGCTTGTGGACCCAGATTCAGATGCAGAAATCAGGCCAATGGTGACAGCTTGCATCTCAGAAATGAAGGAGAAACAACTCACCTCTGACAGGTTTCAGAGATTCTCCTCTTGGAAATCCTTACAAAGAGCCATTGCATCGCTCATCCAGGTAGCTTGCTCTTCTAGATCCACCAATGAATCCGATACATGCAGCGGTTGGCATCTTTGTTCAAAAGCACACAATGTAAGTGAGCTGTTAAAAGCCAAGAATGTGATAATCCGCTCTGTGCAAAAGGAATCATTCAGTAAGGAGATTGAAACACTCTCTAAGGGAGGAAACATTAGCAGCAAAGTTCCACTCTCAAAACTGAATCCTTTCCTAGGTGAGGATGGCCTACTCAGAGTCGGAGGCAGATTAAAACTGGCAGATTTAAGCTACCCAGAAAAAAACCCAGTCATATTACCTGGCAAGCATCACGTTTCTACGTTACTCATAAGGCACTACCATGAACGCGTGGAACATCAAGGCCGCATATTCACAGAAGGGGCCGTTCGTGCTGCTGGATTGTGGCTTGTTGGAGGCAAGAGATGCATAAGCAGTGTTCTCCATGCATGTGTAACCTGTCGTAAACTGCGTGGTAAACTAGAGATGCAGAAAATGTCAGACTTGCCACCAGAACGACTAAGTGTGTCAGCACCGTTTACTTACACTGGCTTAGATGTCTTTGGCCCTTGGACAGTGGTAGCTCGCCGCACAAGAGGAGGTCAAGCTCACAGTAAACGCTGGGCAGTGCTTTTCACCTGCATGAGCACCCGTGCAGTTCACATTGAAGTCATTATGTCTATGGACTCTTCAAGTTGTATCAATGCCCTTCGCAGGTTTTTTGCGATCCGCGGCCCTGCAAAACAACTACATTCTGACTGTGGAACTAATTTCATTGGCGCTTGCAACGAGCTTGAATTCCACAAAGTGATTAAGGAAACCAAGGTGCAAAGATACATCAATGACGAAGGATGCACATGGGTTTTCAACCCACCACACTCCTCCCATATGGGAGGCGTATGGGAGCGTATGATTGGTCTGGCTCGTAGAATTCTTGACTCAATGCTGATGCGGGAAGGACACTCCAACCTCTCTGATGAAGTGCTTTGTACACTTATGGCAGAAGTGACGGCCATTATTAACAGTAGACCTCTAGTACCTGTTTCTATGGACGCAGACTCACCCTTGATACTTACCCCTGCAATGCTCCTAACACAAAAGGCAGGTTCTCCACCTCCAGCAGGAAACTTCTCCGAAAAGGACATCTACAAACGCCAATGGCGGCAAGTACAGAGCCTAGCCAACCAATTCTGGTGTCGCTGGAAACAGGAATATCTTCAAACACTGCAAGTTCGTCACAAATGGCAGGATCCATACCCAAACATCCAGGAGGGCGACATAGTACTACTTAAGGACAATCAAGTAGCCCGAAATGAATGGCCTATGGCACTCGTCACAAGTGTTTTCCCTGGTCAAGATGGCAAGGTTCGAAAAGTTGAACTTAAAGTAACTAAAGGAGGGCCCAGCAAAACTTTCTTGAGGCCTATATCTGAAATCATTCTCCTGCTTAGAAAATAAGGAAAACACCTTTAAACAGATAATTATAGATGACATCTTTATAGATGTCATGCGGGGAGTGTTATGTTAATTGGACTAAGCATTTTAGGTTTTTTATTTGGGACTCTAATTTTGAAAAAATTACCTTACTGAGCAGGGAGCAGCCATTTTAGTTTCAGTTTCGCTCAACTCTCTCAAGCATTAAGCTCCATGTGACTGCTGCTCCAGTTTTCTTTAATGTTTATGCCTTCGAAAGCATTGTCAGTAAGTAATCATCGTTAAATGTGTAAATTGAGAATATTTTATACATCTTCTATGCTATATTGATAATAATTAAGTGTTGTTTTATACACCAATTGCTCAACCGGTAACTCTGCTCTGTTAACCTTAATATTGTGTATATATTTTGTATTCTGTTTCTAAAAGCACTTTATTTGTGTATTGTTTTTGATAGTTTCACTCTTCTTTGAATCATATTGGAGTAAACATCAGGAGTTTTTCTTGGAAAACTGCACCCTGACTCCAGTCTTTATTTGAAGGGAGTTTGGCTTGCTGCTGAATTGTGTTCACACATATGGAAACGCACAAGGAGAGCAGTATAATGGGGCTCGCAAATGGATCTGTCTGGGGATCCCGAGGCTGCTGAGGCACCTTCTCGGGATTCATCGGACAGTTCCGATGCCCTCGAGCCTCGCGCAGAAGCCCGCTCGGCGGCTTCTTCTGCGCGAGTCGAGGATCCGATGCTTGAGTTGTCTGCTTCCGAGGAGGTGGACGTGCTCAGCATCGAAGGGGGCGGGGACTTCGGGGATGACTCGCCACCCCGTGTCCCCGCATATGAGGAGCTGGTAGAGGTTGTTTCCCGTGCAGTGGCTCATTTAAAGATCGATTGGCCACAAGAAAAGCAGGAAGTGCAAGTTAAGAGCAAATTAGATGAGCGCTTCCTGCAGCACAGGGAACAACCTCATCATCGGGGCTTACCGTTTTTTCCCGATTTGCATACTGAGGTGTGTAAATCGTGGAAGAAACCCCATTCTTCTCGTGTTTCCAATCCCACTATATTAAAATATAGTAATATCATGGGGGCACGAGAGAATGGTTATGGGATGATGCCGCGGGTTGAACAGCCTTTGGCTAATTATTTATCACCTGAGTCGGCATCATCCTTTAAAGCCCCGGTGCTGCCCACCAAGCCATGCAGAGAAACATCTTCACTGGTGGGCAGGGCATATATGGCTGCGGGTCGGGCTGGTGCGAGTCTTCACACCATGGCGCTTCTCCAAGCGTACCAGGCCGACCTTCTTAAGGATATTGATGAGGGCGAGGGACCAACTCCGGAGGATGTGGCGGAGTTGAGGAAGGTCGCTGATTTGTCTCTCCGAGTCACCAAAGAGACGGCCCGCGCTGTCGGTCGCTCCATGGCGGCAATGGTGGTCTCGGAGAGACATTTATGGTTAAATCTGACGGGCATCAGGGAGAAAGACAGGGCTTTCCTCCTTGATGCCCCGATTTCGCCTTCTGGCCTGTTCGGCGACGCTGTTAATACCGTTGTCGACAGGTTTCAGGAGGCGAAAAATCAATCAGCGGCCTTCAAACAATTACTCCCTCGTCGCTCAGTATCCAGGAAGTCTGCCCCCAGTGGGCAGTCGCAGCCTCAGCCAGGTACCAGCTCCTCCACCTACAGGCAGGTTCAGAGAGAGAGCGTCGCGTCTAGAGCCCCCCCTCAAGGAGCTTGGGGGCATAGACGGCGCTCTCAATCTAAGCCGCAAGCCAAGCAGGGCGACCTGAGGGCCGTCCTGCAGGCTAAGAAAACATCTAAGAGGTCCTAGCAGTGCTAGGATCTCTGCGGGCGGCCCCACCCGTGATGGAGCGACTGAGGTCGTCTCCCTCGCGGAGCCCGCAGGAAATCGATGTTGTTCTCCCGCCGTCAAGTACGTTTCGGGACGCATCGGTTTCCAGCGATCGCAAGCTGCTTTGTCCGCCCCACGAGCCTGCGGACGGGCAGCGATTGCGTTCGCCCATCGAGAATCGTTTTCGGTCCAGTCCTGCCGGAGATTCGTTTCAGGCGGTCGAGAACGAATCCCGATTAATACCCGAAACCAGGCTCGAGAGCCTGGTTCCCTTGGCGAAATATTTCGATGCATGGAAAAATCTAGCGAATATTTCCCCGTGGGCGCTGCGCACGATACAATACGGGTACAGGCTGCAGTTCGGGTTCCACCCACCCAGATTCAACGGGGTGGTCTGGACTGTAGTCAACCCGACGCAGGGTCGGGTATTGGAACAGGAAGTAAACTCCCTGCTGGCAAAGGGGGCCATAGAGCATATTCCTCCACTAGACAGGGAGTCCGGGTTTTACAGCCGCTACTTTATAGTTCCCAAAAAAGATGGGGGGTTGCGTCCGATCATAGATCTCAGATATCTGAACCGCTCTCTGAGGAGATTCAGGTTCAAGATGCTCACTATTCCCATGATCGTGAGTCAGATCCAATCCGAGGATTGGTTCGTCACGATAGATCTGAAGGACGCATACTTTCATATATCCATCCTTCCATCCCACAGGAAGTTCCTGAGGTTCGCTTTCGGGGGCGAAGCGTACCAATATCGGGTTCTTCCATTCGGCCTAGCTCTCTCTCCCCGCACATTCACCAAATGTATGGATGTAGCTCTAGCACCTCTGAGGCTCCAGGGCATCAGGGTGCTCAACTATATAGACGACTGGCTGATTCTGGCCCAGTCTCAAGAGCTGGCGGTTCAGCATCGAGATGTTGTTCTTGCCCACATCCAGAAACTGGGGTTGAGACTAAACACGAAGAAGAGCGTGTTGATACCAGCCCAAAGGACTACGTTCCTGGGAGTGGTATGGGATTCGGTCGTAATGCGGGCACGATTGTCGCCTGCGTGAGTCGAGTCCATTCTGGCCACAGTGGCTGGGATAAAGCTAGGCCAAGCCGTCACTGTCAAGCATTTCCAGAGAGTGCTGGGACTCATGGCAGCAGCGTCCAACATCATTCCATTTGGCCTGCTGCACATGAGGGCCCTCCAGTGGTGGTTAAAAACCAAGGGGTTCTCCCCGAGGGGAAAACCGTTCCGCACAATCAGAGTTACGCGCAGATGCCTTCGTTCTCTGGTTATGTGGAAGAAAGCTTGGTTCTTGTCCCAAGGTCCAGTGTTGGGAGCGCCATGTCGCCGGAAAACCGTTTCGACAGACGCTTCCCTCACGGGCTGGGGCGCGGTCATGGACGGCCGCTTCACGACAGGCCTATGGCGGGACCATCATTCCTCCTGGCACATAAACTGCCTGGAAATGTTGGCGGTCTCCCGGGCTCTGAGGAGCTTCCTGCCGGACCTCAGAGGTCATCACGTCCTCGTGAGGTCAGACAGCATGTCAGTGGTGGCCTATATAAACCATCAGGGGGGCCTGAGGTCTCGCCCTCTATGCAGACTGGCGCATCAGATCCTCCTGTGGTCCCAGGGGAAACTGTTGTCTCTGAGAGCAACATACATCCCGGGAAGTCTAAATCAGGGAGCAGACGTCCTGTCGAGACAGGGGCTGAGGCCCGGGGATTGGAGACTTCACCCCGAGGTGGTGGAGTCGATATGTCAGAGGTTCGGCCCTGTGGAAGTGGACCTGTTTGCGTCTCGAGAGACGACCCACTGTCCGCTGTGGTTTTCCCTCACCCCTCCAGCCCCACTGGGGCTGGATGCTATGGTGCAGACGTGGCCGAGGCTGCGTCTGTATGCATTTCCCCCGATCGCTCTGCTCCCGGGAGTTCTGGAAAGGGTCCGTCGCGACGGGATCAGTCTACTGTTGGTAGCCCCGTTGTGGCCGGCCCGAGTATGGTTCTCGGACATAATATTGCTCCTAGACGGCCCTCCGTGGGAGATTCCCCTCAGGAGGGACCTGCTGACACAGGCGGGGGGCTCAATATTTCACCCTCGGCCGGAGTTATGGAAACTGTGGGTCTGGCCCCTGAGGGGGCACAGTACCTAGAGGCTGGCCTGTCAGCTGGAGTAGTGGAGACCATACTCAGCTCTAGAGCTCCCTCCACGAGGAAACTGTATGGTTTAAAGTGGAATGTGTTTATTGATTGGTGTAGGAGGCGTGAGGTTGACCCAGTTAACTGCCCAGTGGCTTCAGTGCTGGAGTTCCTCCAAGATCGCTTCTCCTCTGGTCTTACCCCGTCCACGCTCAAGGTGTACGTGGCTGCCATTGCGGCTTTCCACGCTCCGTTGGGTGATGGGTCTCTGGGGAGACACCAATTGATCGTACGTTTCCTCCGTGGAGCTTGGAGGATGAGACCTGCGGCTCGTACCAGGGTTCCCTCTTGGGACCTGGCAGTAGTTCTAGAAGGATTGGCTGAGGCCCCCTTCGAGCCACTGGAGTCGGCTGAGGCCAAGAACCTAACGCTGAAGGTCGCTTTTCTGTTGGCCATCACTTCTCTGAGGAGGGTGGGAGATCTTCAGGCGCTCTCCATATCTAACGAGTGCCTGGAGTTTGCTCCAGGCAACATTAAGGCCATCCTTCACCCTAGGCCTGGCTATCTGCCTAAGGTGCCATCTAATGTGGCACGGCCTACGGTTCTGCAGGCATTTCATCCCCCACCTCACCTGACGGCGGATGAGGAGAGACTTCATAGGCTCTGCCCTGTCAGAGCACTAGGGATATATATTCAGAGGTCCTCTTCATGGCGGAAGGCGGACCAGTTGCTGGTATGTTTCGGGTCGCCCAAAAAGGGGTTTCCGGCCTCAAAACAAACCATCAGCAACTGGATTGTCAATGCGATTTCCACAGCTTATCAGGTGCGCGGTATGCCTTCACCTTTGGCTGTGAGGGGCCCATTCCACTAGAGGCATAGCATCCTCTAGGGCCCTTCTCGCAGGGGCCCCCATCCAGGAAGTCTGCGATGCAGCTGGATGGGCTACCCCACATACCTTCATTAGGTTTTACAGCTTAGACATTCCGTCGACACCCGGCTCTCTTGTGCTCGCGTCCTGAGTGTGCCTGTGAGCAGCTTCACACCAGGACAGGCAGGGCGCGTTGTGGCGTAGTGGGTACTCGTTCCCCCAAAGTGTCACTTGGACGCAGTTTGAGTTCCCTCGATAGGGAACGTCCTCGGGTTACGACTGTAACCCTTGTTCCCTGAGAAGGGAACGAGAACTGCGTCTCGTGGCCACGCCTTCCCCTGCCTGGGAGCGCTTGCTTCATCACAGAAGCTGACATGTTGTGTGTGCCGGTTCCTTATATATGCTTCCGCCTATGTGTCGTCACACATCACGTCATCACGTTGATCCAATCGGAGATTGGCTTAGTTTCATTCATGCTTCAGAGACGCTGCGCTGAGGGGCGTTCCCCCAAAGTGTCACTTGGACGCAGCTCTCGTTCCCTTCTCAGGGAACAAGGGTTACAGTCGTAACCCGAGGACGTTTTCTGGGTATTGAGTATGAGATTGTTGGATGCACACCACTCTACCAGGTGTTGAACCTCTTCCCTGTAGGCATCTTCATTATTATCGCTGACCAAGCCTGCCACAGTGATATCATCTGCAAACTTAGTTATAGAGTTTGAGACATGCACAGGTTGGCAGTTGTAGGTAAAGAGAGAGTAGAGGATTGGGCTCAGAACACAGCCCTGTGGCACACCGGTGTTCAAGGTGAGGGTAGAAGAGTGATGGTTGTCGATCCTAACAGACTGTGGTCTGTTAGTGAGGAAGTCCAGGAACCAGTTGCAGAGAGAAGGGCTGATGCTAAGTTCAGTGAGCTTAGAGATCAGCTTGGACGGGATCACAGTATTAAAAGCAGAGCTAAAATCAATAAATAACATTCTTACATATGTATTGCTTTTATCCAGGTGATTCAAAGGAGTGTGGAGGGCTGAGGCAATGGCATCTTCAGTTGATCTGTTAGATTTATAGGCAAACTGAAATGGGTCAAGTGTTGGGGGCAGGCACTTTTTCAGATGGAAGAGAACCAGCCTCTAAAAACACTTAGCAATAATTGGCGTGAGGGCCACAGGACGAAAGTCATTAGGGACAAGTCCAGCTCCATGTTTTGGTACTGGCACAATGGTGGTTGTTTTGAAACAGGTCGGAACAATGGCCTGTGCCAGAGAGATGTTAAAAATATTGGTAAAGACATCTGCCAGCTGTTCAGCGCATGCCCTAAGCACTCGGCCTGGAATGCCATCAGGGCCAGACGCTTTATGTGCATTCACCCTGCTCAGGGCAGAGCACACCTCATCGGTGGTAAGTGTGAGTGGCAGATGACCAGGTGGGAGCTCAACTTTGGTAGGAGATTCTGTATTTTCCAAATCGAAGCGAGCATAAAAGACATTCAGGTCGTCAAGGAGAGTAGGCTTGCTGGTTGAATAATTGCTGTTACATGGTTTATAATCCGTGATAGCATGAATGCCTCTCCACATACGCCGAGGATCGTTGTTTTTAAACTTATCCTCGATCTGGAGTTTGTGATTATGTTTAGCAGCTTTGATACCCCTTCTTTTTCCTTGACACAATACTGCAGCTGCTGTAATCAACATTACTTGATGTGGTCCTTGCCACTTAGGTTCTAATAGCTTGTTTCTGAATGACTTTATCATGACCCATTGACCTGGAATAATTGCGTGTCCACCTTCTGGTGGAGTCTGCCAACATGACTCAACTCTCTCTTTGGCACTCTGTACTGCCTTTGTGAGGTTTTCACAGTAAGCGATCAGGGCATCTGAGGCAATGTGTACATCAGCATTTCTAAGATCAATCACACCTGGCATCTGCATTGGGCGTCCAGTAATAATCTCATGAGGGCTCAGTCCTACTGCTCTGTTAGGTGACGCTCTCATACTACACAATACAGCTGGCAGCGCTTCGACCCATGGTACTCCTTCCTGATGCATTTTGCTTAGCCTGGTTTTGATTGTTTTGTTTGCACGTTCAACCTGTCCTGATGCTTGAGGCCTATAGGGGCAGTGAAGGTTCCACTTAATCTGCAACATTTTAGCCACTTCCTTGACTACCTGTCCAGTGAAATGTGTACCTTGATCTGAATCAATGCAATCTGGCAATCCCCATCTGGGAATAAAATCATTGACAAAACATTTAGCAGTATGTGCAGCTGTAGCATGTCCTGTTGGATAAGCTTCTACCCATCTTGAGAATTTGTCTATTACTACCAAAACATCAGTTTTTCCCTTACAACGTGGCAATGATATGTAATCAACTTGCAGGTGACGAAATGGCCCTGGTGGAGCTGGGGTATGTGCTGCTGGTGTAACGGCTGCTGGAACATCATTATTTTTCTGACATGTAACACACCTCTTGGCTGTTTCTGTGGCTACATTTCTGAATTTTGGATTCCACCATTGATTTGAGAACCTGTGGTTCATCGTTGCTGGACCACTGTGCCCCAAACTGTGTATTTGTTGAGCCAAATATGGCAACAGTGATTCAGGAGCAACATACTTTCCCCCTTTGGTCCAGCAACCAGATGAATCAACTGTGGCTCCTTTTTCTAACCATGTCCATGCTTCAAACAGCGGAACACTCTTGTACAGATCAATTATTGATTCAGGAGGCAAAATAGTTTTCTGTGCTGTACTACCTGTACACACTTGTACCTTTTCATAGAAACAAGCCTGTTTAGCCGCTACATCAGGAAGAGAATTACCTTTAGCTTCTGTAGTATTAGTTGTGAGATGTGCTTTCACTTTGATCACTGCTAATTTCTTTGGAAGTTTCATGGCAAACATTAGATCTTTCACTAATCCAGCATGCTTAATGGGGGATCCAGCAGAAGTTAGAAACTGTCTGGTTTGCCAAATGACACCAAAATCATGAACTACCCCAAAAGCATACCTGGAATCTGTGTAAATATTTGCAACTGATCCTGAAGCTAGCGTGCATGCTCTTGTTAAGGCTACTATTTCTGCAGCTTGAGCTAAAAAATGATCTGGAAGACGACCCGAAGCAACCACTTCAGTGGTGGACGTTACTGCATAACCTGCTCGTCTGTTACCTTCAATCACTTGAGCTGAACCGTCAACAAACAACTCTAGATCTGAATTCTCTAAGGGAGTTTCTTCAGTCATTGCAGACATCATACATGAGGATGGGTTTGTGACAGGTGCACGCTGTAAAACAATGTTCGGGGCTGTGAGAGTGGCTAACCAATTTCCCCAACGGGAGGAGGTTACAGAGGTGACTTTTGCTTGATTCATTAGTGCGGACACTGCATGTGGGCATTTTACATATACAGTTTGACCTAACACCATTACTGATGAAGCTTGAAGAGCTAGATGAACTGCCTGCACTGCTCTGAGGCATGGGCCCATACCTTGAGCGACTATGTCAAGTTTACCAGAATAATAATGAATTGGGCGTAAACGGCCCCCATGATCTTGCATTAGACATGCAGTCATAAAGCCTAAGTGTTCATGAACATAAAGCACAAAGGGTCTATCAGATTGGGCAATTCCTAATGCTGGTGCTTGACATAGTGCTCTCTTCAAATCATTGAATGCCTTGAGGTGAAAATCTTCCATACAAACAGTATCTGAATCTTTACCATGACCTTTCAACAAGTCATAAAGAGGCTGAGCAATCGAGGCATATTCTTCTATCCACGGTCTACAGTAACCTGCTGTTCCTAAAAATGATCAGAGTGTTTTAATGGTGGTAGGTGGAGCTATAGTTTTGACTGAAGCCGCTCTATCCTGTTTAATGGATCTGTTCCCTGCACCAATTGTTTGACCCAGAAATGTGACTTGCTGTTTAGCAATTTGAGCATTTATGTCCTCTATTATGCAAATAGTCCAACAATGCTACCAATTCAGTTTTATGTACCTCGTGATCAGTTGAGGCAATCAAAATATCATCGACATATTGAATCATAGTGGACTGTTTTACCGCACATTCTGGGTCACACAAATCACATCTGACAGCCTGATGGTATATGGTTGGGGAGTTTTGAAATCCCTGTGGCAAACGTGTCCACTGGTATTGCTCATAGTCAACGGTGAAAGCTAACCATGGCTGGCTGTCAGGGTGCAACGGTACAGAAAAGAATCCATTAGACATCAATATGTTTATTGGCTACTCTGTAGTCTATTGTGAGTCTCCATGTCCCATTAGATTTCTTTTTGGGCCATATGGGGGAATTACATGGACTGTTGGTTTTAACTAGCACTCCTTGTGTCAGCAATTTTTCTACAATAGGTTTGATCCCCTGAATAGTATCCTCATTGATAGGATATTGTTTAGTGACGGGGGGGTGCAGTTCCTGTTAATTTTACTGGTTCTGCACCTGTCAACAAACCACAATCATCCTTGTCTTTAGCCCAAATTGGATGATTCTGTAAGAAAGCATATTCTGGAGAGATCTCCCCACTGGTAGAAATTTGTGCTGAGGAAATTTGGATGCTAGCAGATTCTGGGGACAAGTCTAAAGTTAGATGTACTTGTCTCAGGAGATCCATGCCTAAAATTGCACCTGTATTTAATGGAGCACATAACAATTTTGTAGTCAGAGTTTTCGGGCCAAATTGTATCTCAATGGGCGGGGTTTCATACAAAACAGAATCTTCACCTATTACACCAGTTAAAGTAAATTTGGTTTTCTTGAACGGGATGTTTAAACCTTTAGCTAATTTTGTAGGAATCACAGTAGATTCTGCACCTGTATCAAGCAAAAAATCAATCTCTTTCTCCTGTATGCTACCTTTCACAAAAATTCTTTCGTCATTATGATGGATTACAGATGAAAGGTAGCTGTTCACAGCCCCAACAATTAGTTTTTTTCCTGGTCTTTTTGTGCTCTTAGAAGAGCCTGGACGAGCTGTCCTAAAGTCTCAGTGGACACTTGTGGAACACTCGTCAGGGTTGTAAGCAGGCTGAGGAGGACCAGAATTATGCATGGCATTTCTTTTTGTATCTTGCAACTTCTTTCTACATTCTTTCTCCCAATGCCCTACTTTTCCACAATAGTGACATTTGCCTTCTTTTTTTGGCCACCTGCTTTCTGTTTGGATTGTTCTAAACGTAGCTGCTGCTGCTACTCTCACTTTGGCTTTAACATTCGCATCTTTTTTCCATGCTGCCAACCTTTCCAGGTTACTTCTTAGAGTTCTGTGAGACCAAGTCAGATCTAAAAATGGCAACGCTCTTCTGTAGTCAACTACAAGGCCATCTGACCAGATGCGGACCAGCGGTCCTTTGTCATCGAGTACACTTTCAGAATCATCCACTATTCCACTGTACGTTACAGCTGACTGACAAAACCTCTCAGTATATTCATTCACCGTTTCGTCTTTCTTTTGTACACAGTTAGTAATTCTAGACCAATCTATCTTGGGTCCTAGAATATTCTTTAGGATTTTCAAAACAGCTTCTCTCATATCACTTCTACTGGCACGTTGTAGTTCAGAGGTCACTGCAGATTCAAAACTGTTGAATTCGGATTCAGTTAAAATTTGAGACATTAACTGTGTGACCTCTGTTAACGACATGTCGTAGAGACGCATTTTGCTGATCAAAACTCTTCTAAATTCAGAAAACTGTGTGCGTGCTGAAGGCAAACTCTGTGACAATCTCTCTATATCTCTAGGTCCAAGCGTTTTGGCAACAGTTTGGATATGAACAACAGAAGCACTGGAAGGAACAGTTTCTGACTCTTCAATTCCCTGCGATCTTTTTCTAGCCCCACACACATTCACTGAATTGACATGCTTATCAGTTACTGATGGGATGTCTACATCTCTTTCAAAGAATGCTTGTAAATCAGGGTAGATGTTATCAGGCTGACTTACTACTTCCACATCAGTTTTTTCTGCATCTTTGTTACGGTTCAATTTCTTGGTTAATGCGGAAACTCTAGCCCGTAGCTCTTTGTTCTCTTTCTCTAGCTCTGACTTTTGCTCAGACTGTTGTGAAGCTAGTGCTAAACCGAACTCTCTATGGCAACAGATTATGCCTTTCATGTTTTTCTTTCTGATACATGCTCCTAGTACTTTTTACAGTCATCTACCGACCAAGTCTTGTCTGGATGAATCTCATATTTCTGTGTTAGTTGTTTCCTAACTTTTTCAGTAACTATTAGGTTCATTTGTTCTCCTAATAGTGCTTTGAATTCACTATCTGACCACAATGGAGTGGCAAGGCCACTTTTCTCAGTTGTAGGAACCAACCTAGCTTTTTTCCTAACCATTTTGTGAGTTTCTTTACCACACACAAAACCTAAACTTTCTTTGATCAAACAGAGGCTACACTTGTTTAGATCCTTCTTTGGTAGACCAAAGGATATCCACAATATTTCTAGCACTTTATGCTAATCTTCCCTGCTTGTACAGAGGATCAAACTTTCATCTCTAAAGTAAATTTTTAGAGGGTAACACCACAAAATAACAACAAACAAACAACACAAACTATTAGCATGTTACGCTAATCTTCCCTGAAAGAAAATGGAAAAGATCTTTCACCTTCCAAAACTTTTAGAGGATGACCAAAATAACTAGCACAAAAATGCTAATCCTTCTCTGTGAACAGAGGTTATCACCAAATATTAACACGTAATGTTAATCTTCCCTAAGTTTAGAGGATATCTTCTCTAGCAACGTAGAGGCACTATTCCGTTAAACAAAACTTCACTGACTCATTCAGAGGATATCTTACAACTTCCCTGACTTATTCAGAGGATCCCAAAATATTAACATTTAATGTCAATCTTCCCTGCCTGACAACAGAGGATACCTTTCATCTTTAAAAGACAACTTTTAAAGGATAACTTTAAGTTAATCAAACACTACAGCTGTCTGATAACTCTCTGACGGCGCAGAGGCACAACTTTGGTACTGGTCTGGTTCTTTGAATAGAGTTAAAACTCACCGAATCGTTGCTTGTATGAAAAGATTCAGTCTGGAACTCAAAAAAGTTATTTTTGTTCTTGTTCTGGAACTCAGTCCGCTTTGAGATCTTGTTCTGCTTGAAGTTTTCAAGAATCAGTTGAGATTCTCTGTTGAAATCTTTTGTTGCTTGAAGTTTAAGTTTCTGGATTCAGGTAAGAATCATCTGTAGTGAAGTTTTTCTTCTTCCACGCAACAGACCAGGAGACTCTTGAGGTATCTTTCACGCAGAAGTTCTTTATTGCGTCACTGTAGTCATCTCAAAGATAGTCTAACCAAGGGAAAACATTCCCTTACAATTTATACATTTAGAGGGGAGGAGTTTACATTGAGGGGGGAGAAACTGAAACAAAGCAATGTATATGATTCAACAGGCATCTCAGTTCATCAGCATAGCAGGTTTCTGTGCCTTGAGATGCTAATCTGGAGGAGTTACATTGAGAAGGAGACTCTTGAAATGAAGAAGGAACAGACCCTACTCTGAGGGCATTACCACTCTAATTGAAACAACATAACTATTCAAATGTTGATAGTAGCCAGGAACTGTGGTTCCAGAGAGCCATCCCAGAGCCACTAAAGACAAAAAGGTGAAAGTCTCCCTTACAGCTAATCCAATCAAAAACAGGACTATCGGGAAAGGAGACTCTCGCTGGAGACTCAATAATCATCTACTAAACTTTCAGGTTTCATACCATTGGAGACAAATTTGTATTCTTCCACAAGCTTGCTCTGAGATTTCCCCATACTGGCTGTTTCTATTCCCCCGTGGATTTTCCGTTCGACGAGTCTAATAATCTGTCGGACGTCTCCAACAGATCCGATCTCTTAACCCAAGATCGGCCAAGGTGCACTCTGAATGCTTTATCTGCTTGAAATCACTTGACCCCGCTGCCCGATCTCAATTAATTCCAGATTAAAGTCCACCTGAAATCTTTTAACTTGTTTCCAGGTCTCAATTAATTCTGGACTGTAATCTGCATGAAATCTCTTGATTTGACCCCAAATCTCAATTAATTCCAGACTTTTATGAGAACTCAGTCCCCACATGAAATCTCTTGACCTGCTCTCAGGTCTCAATTAATTCTGGACAAGTCTTGTAGCCGCACCGCAGAAATAGACCGCAGCCAGTATAGTTCTCCTCAGCTATATACCCAATATAAAATGAATTTAGCTGTCTCTTACCAGGATGTCTTGCCTCGGGTTCTTTTTGATTCCAGTGGAGCCTCTCCTGGGCCTGATAGCGGTCGGCCCCTCTCTCTCAAGCTTACGAGGTAGAGCTGGAACTGCTCAGTCCAGGTGGCCAAACACCGTCCGCTCTCAGGTCCAGAGGGCACTTCCAAGGAATCCCACTCTTCTGACACCAATTGTTAAGGCAAAAATTCAATAAACAGACATCACTGCGTAAGAGACACTCCAGAGTCAAATTAATAAAGAAAGAGAATTTTATTCTTGCAAGAATAGGCCCAGTTGCTAACATATATTGGTACACTGTAAAGAGAGTGACGCCCAGAACACTGGCCGGTGTCTGTCTATATAGCTCTCCCAAGGTTATTTACTGCAGGCCAAGCCTCCCTGTAAAATTCCACAAGCAATAGGATTCGAATTGTAGTGAAGTTTTATTCTTCCACGCAACAGACCCGGAGACTCTTGAGGTATCTTTCACGCAGACGTTCTTTATTGCGTAGCTGTAGTCATCTCAAAGATAGTCTAACTAAGGGAAAATATTCCCTTACAATTTATACATTTAGAGGGGAGGAGTTTACATTGAGGGGGGAGAAACTGAAACAAAGCATGCAAATGAATTAGGAACACGCCCTACTTTGAGGCCATTACCAATCCGATTGAATCAGCATAACTATTTAAATGCTGATAGTGGCAGGAACTCTGGTTCCAAAGAGCCATCCCAGAGCCATTAAAGACAAAAGGTGTAAGTCTCCCTTATAGCTAATCCAATCAAAAACAGGACTATCGGGAAAGGAGACTCTCGCTGGAGACTTTATCAGTTTTTATACCATTGGAGTGGAAACCTAAATTAAACATTTGACAAATTTGTATTTCTCCAATTCCCCCAAAGGGAGTTCTAAATAACTCCCACACTATATACAAATTTAAACAATTAAACGTTCACTCTTGTAACTTTTGCTAGTTACAGGCACATACTCATGTTCTGTGTTTGTTTTTTCTGTAATTACATGCTGACACAGAAAACAAACATGCAATTAGGGTCCATTAAGCTCTTACGGAAAAATTAAACTTCAGTTACATCTGGTGTAATTTTTTTTCTGAAAGATCAAGACTGTTTAACCATCATGCTTGTGCACAAGAGAGTCAATGCAGCCATCTTCGGCTGTGGCCTGCAAGGTTTCCAGCAAAAACGAGGATTGTGGAGTCTTCACTTTGTGCGATGTCCTGGTAACATCTTGATAATGTTGATGGATGACTGAAGGTTCCGTAAGTCTTTTCTCTGCGTTGTGTATTTTTTTTCTTCTTTACTTTGGTGATAGTTGGCTTGGCAGTGGGTCTCGTTGTTTTCTGGAAGTGGTGTCTTCATACGCAGGTGAAGACGTCTGTCCGTATGGGTCTCGGGACAGCCATCAAGTGGTATCTGCACAGAGGAAAAAGAAAACAAGAGAGCAGTATTTCTTCAAAGACAAGGGTTGTATCCTGCTGAGTAAACACTGAGTCGGCTATTGTTCCCTCTTTCCCTATTTCTTAATCCTTGACACCTAAAAAACACAGTGAGGTGAGGATGAGACTAAATGGATGGGGAAGGCCTATGAGGTAATCTTCGCCCAAGGGGTGACCCCCGACGCATATGGCATTTCGGTTCTTACCTTGGGTTCCTCACTGGTTCGTGTCCTTTTTATGTCCCTGTCAGTGGGCAGAACTTTGCAGAACACTTTGCAATGTGACAGAACCCTTTTCAATGTGACACATAATACCAAGCTTTTTCTTCCTTGACACAATACTGCCGATCAACATTACTTGATGGGGCACATGCCACTTAGGCTCTAATGGCTTGACCTGTCCTGTGACGTGTACTTTGATCTGCGTAACCCAATCATGAGTTATTTTTCCTTCATCCTCTAACAAAACATCAGTCGTTTGTAGACATCATACATGAGAATGGGTGAGGGTAGTTAAACCAATTTCCCCAATGGGAAAAGGTGACAATATTGACTTTTGCTTAATTCATTATTGCGGACACTGCTTGTGGGCATTTGCAGTCTGACCTAACACTATTATTGATGAAAGGCCTGTGCTGTAGAATAACATTTAAGGCTGTGAGTTTACTTAAAGCAGTTCCCCAAAGGAAAAGCTGAGACAGTTACTTTCCTTTTGTTCCGGTAAACAAACATAAGTTTTTTATCTCTCTTGTAAGTTACTGGGGAAATTAAACACTCACAGTCCAAATGGTTAACACGTCAACAAGCTGCCCCACCCGTTTAAAGACGTGGGGAATGGCGGCTTCAGAGTAGCAAGCAAACTGAGAAGTTGGGCAAAAAGGTTGACTTCTTTAAATTTCTTTCTGCTTTTTCTACACTCTCTGCTCCAATGTCCCGGCTGACCACAGTAATAACACCTGCCCTCTCTCTTAGGACATTTACGTTTCTGTGGGTGTTCTGTGCTGACCTTAAAAGAAGCTGCTGCAATTTGTACTCTTGCCTTAACATCAAAATCTCTTTCCCAAGCAGTTAACCTGTCCAGGTTACTTCTAAGAGTTCTGTGAGACCAAGTCAGATCCAAAAATGGCAAAGCACTTCTGTAGTCAGCTATAAGGCCATCTGACCAGATGCGGACCAGCGGTCCTTTGTCATTGAGTACACTTTCAGAATCATCCACTTTTCCACTGTACGTTACAGCTGACTGACAAAACCTCTCAGTATATTCATTCACAGTTTCTTCTTTCTTTTGTACACAGTTAGTCATTCTAGACCAATCTATCTTGGGTCCTAGGATATTCTTTAGGATTTTCAAAACACCTTCTCTCATATCACTTCTACTGGCACGTTGTAGTTCAGAGGTAACAGCAGACTCAAAACTGTTGAATTCAGATTCAGTTAGAATTTGAGACATTAACTGTGTGACTTCTGTTAACGACATGACGTAGAGACGCATTTTGCTGATCAAAGCTCTTCTAAATTCAGTGAACTGTATGTGTGCTGGCGGTAAACTCTGGGACAATCTCTCTATGTCTCTAGGTCCGAGCGTTGTAGCAACAGTTTGGATTTGAACAACAGAAGCACTGGAAGGAACACTTTCTGACTGTTCAATTCCCTGCTGTCTTTTTCTAGCAGCACACACCTTCACTGAATTTACATGCTTATCTGTTACTGATGGGATGTCTACATCTCTTTCAAACAATGCTTGTAAGTCAGGAAAAGTTTCATCTGACTGTTGTTCTTCAGAGTTACATTTGGCTGAGGCCTGGTTATTGCCCACCTTTGTCTTGAAACAGGACAATTGAGTCTGCAATTGTTTGTTCTGTTCATTTAACTTACACCTAGCTTGCTCTTGTGCACTGGATAAACTGTATTCTTTGTGACAACAGATAATGGCTTTCACATTGTTCTTGCGAATACTTGCTCCTAGCACTTTTTTACACTCATCTATAGACCATACTTTTTCTGGGTGAATGCCAAATTTCTTTGTCAATTTCACTCTGACTGACTGAGTCACTATGGAGTCCATGTGCTCTCCTAACAATGACTTAAATTCACTATCTGACCACAATGGAGCGGCAAGGCCACTTTTCTCAGTTGTAGGAACTAGAGGTCTTCACGGGTCCAAAAATTCATGCCCGACCCGGAAAAGACCCGTAATGTGCTACACCGAACCGACCCGGACCCGTCGTTCATTTCAAAA